TTGATGGACCTCCGCACTAGTCGAGAACTTGCTCAAGTTGGTCTACGGTGCGATGATACTCGCTGAATGATATTTTTTCCGACAGTCGTTCGACCGGCGTAACCAGCTATTGGAAGCTGAAATAAAAAAGCTGGTGAAAGCTCTTGAGGCACGAGAAGATGACCGTCGGAGTTTACTCAAGGAATTGGTTGGAAGTTGGTCATTCGAGTAACGATGCAACGCCTTCGGTATTAGGCTGCAGCTAAACGAGAGGTTGGACGACTCAGGGAGATCTCGGAGCAAGGGAAGGAGACTGGGGCTGGTGGGGTCAACAGGGGCTGTGGAGCTACATCGTTAATGACTTTGTTGGAGGGCCGACACTCCTGGTTGCTGCATCAGGTTTTGATGGATCTGTACTGTCGAGCTCTGATCCGAGCGGTGGCAGTCATAATGTATTCTTCGATGATGGTGCGGCATCGGGAGGTGGGTCTGTTCCAACGACAGGTGATCAGGAGCCGTGGTCAGAGCGGACAAGTTCTGACAAGGGTGGCTCCACTGTTCGCTCAGAGATGATGAATAGAGCCTATGAGAGGGAACTGAGGTATCGTAGGACCATCGAGGAACTGAGGGACCGAGTCAACAGTGATAAGTAGTCACCGTGCTTGCTATCATATTGGGGAGTTCAGTAGTAGATTGGCGTTGAGATCGCTACAGGAGACCTTGGATTGCCAACTGCAGCAGCGGTCAGAAATAGAAGTGGGGGGCATGCTTAGTGACAATAGGCGCCTCCGTGGTGGTAATGTTAGATATCCCTCCTGCAGTGTATTGACGATGTCAAGAATGAGATAGCTCTACATCGGAAACAGCAGTCGCAGAGAGCAAGCATCGATCCGAAGCTCATTGCTGCTGGATACTCGGAAGATGGTGGGCTCTTTCCTCATTGGGCTAGCTAGCGTCATGTTAGATAGTGGTAGGTCCACCACCCGTATTGTGGCACAGTGAGGATGTTAAGTCGATGGCTGATCGGATTGACACAGTCCACGACTTTTCGGCTGGTAGGGCGATGATGAATGTGCGCTGCCGTTTTTATTATCATTGTCACAGTGGACCGGGAGCGGGCATTGGAGCTGTTGTTGGGTCAGGACAGAATTGTGCAAATCCTGCATCAGAAGGTGAGCGGAGCGAAGCTCCGAGCGCTTATGATCATAGTGGATTCTCAGAGAGGCCGAAAGACTGGTCATGAACGATCG